TTGAATTCAAGGAAGACTTTAATTTCTTTCTTATTTCTCTCCTGACCCAGAGATGCTTCAGTAGGTGACTGTTCAGTTTCCATGATAGAAGAGAAAGTGGGAAGTAGTCTACAACACATGGGCACAGGAGACCACTTCCTATGTAGAACCCCAGTAACACAGACAATAAGAATAACAATGAATAAATGGAACCCCCTGAAACTGAGAAGCTTCTGTAAAGCAAAGGACAGTGTCATTAAGCTAAAAAGGCAACCTATTGATTGGGAGAAGATCTTCGCCAATCAAGCATCAGACAAAGGTCTGATCTTCAAAATATATAAAAAGCTCAAGAAACTAGACATTAAAACTCTAATTACCCCAATTAAAAATGGGGTACTGAACTGAACAGAGAATTCTCAACAGAAGTTCAAATGGCCAAAAGACACTTAAGGTCATGCTCAACCTCCTTTGTGATCAGGGAAATACAAATCAAAACAACTCTGAGATACCCTCTTACACCAGTCATAATAGCTAAAAATCAAAAACACCAATGATAGCTTATGCTGGAGAGGATGTGGAGTAAGGGGGAATACTCATGCATTGTTGGTGGGACTGCAAACTTGTGCAACCACTTTGGAAATCAGTGTGGTGGTTTCTCAGGAAACTGGGAGTCAACCTACCTAAAGACCCAGCAATTCCACTCTTGGGAATATACCCAAGAGATGCCCAATCATACTTCAAAAACATTTGTTCAACTATGTTCATAGCAGAACTATTTGTAATAACTAGAACCTGGAAACAACCTAGGTGCCCCTCAATAGAAGAATGGATAAAGAAGGTGTGGCACATATACACTTTAGAGTTTTACTCGGCAGTCAAAAACAATGACATCTTTGCCAGGCGGTGGTGGCGCACGCCTTTAATCCCAGCACTCGGGAGGCAGAGGCAGGCGGATCTCTGTGAGTTTGAGACCAGCCTGGTCTACAAGAGCTGGTTCCAGGACAGGCTCCAAAACCACAGAGAAACCCTGTCTCGAAAAACCAAAAAAAAAACCAAAAAACAAAAAAACAAAACAAAAAAAAACAATGACATCTTGAATTTTGCATGCAAATGCATGGAAATAGGTAACACTTTACTGAGCAAGATAACTCAGACCCCAAAAAGAAGAATATGGTATGTACTTACTCATAAGTGGATTCTATCCATAAATAATGGACATTGAACCTATAATTCATCATCCTAGAGAAGTTAAATAAGAAGGAGAACCCAAAGAAAACCATATAGTTATCCTCCTGGATATTGGAAGTGAATAAGATTGCCAGGCAGGGTTTGGGAGCAAGGGGTTAGCGCAGGGGTGGGGGTAAGTGGAGATGGGGAGAGAGAAGGAAGAAGGGGAGGATGGGAAGAGCTTGGGGGAATGGGATGGTTGGGATGGAGGAAGGGTGGATGTGGGAGCAGGGAAGTAGATATCTTAATTAAGGGAACCATTTTAGGGTTGGCAAGAGACTTGACTCTAGAGGGGTCCCCATGTGCCCAAGGAGATGTCCCCAGCTTGTTCCTTGGGCAGTAGAGGAGAGGGTGCCTGAACTGGCCTTATCCTATAGCCACCCTGACAAATATCTTGCATATCACCATAGAACCTTCATTTGGCCATGGCAATGGATGGAGATAGAGACAGAGACCCACACTGGAGCACTGGACTGAGCTCCCAATGTCCAAATGAGGAGCAGAAGGAGGGAGAACATGACCAAGAAAGTCAGGACCATGAGGGGTGCATCCACCCATGAGATGGTGGAACTGATCTAATGGGGGCTAACCAAGGCCAGCTGGCCTGGAACCAATGGAGCATGTGATCAAACCAGACTCTCTGAATGTGGCTGAAGGTGGGGGCTGACTGAGAAGCCAAGGACAATGGCACTGGATTTTGATTCTACTCCATGGACGGATGTAGGGATAAGTCCCGCCCCTTAAGGGGCGTGTTCGCCTCGGGCTAATGTCTGCCTATAAATTTGGTGAGCAAGCTCCGAGCTCTTGCTTCTGCTTTCCTGGTCTCTGCGGGAACGGTGGTTCTGTAAGTCTATTTCTACATTAAAGCTATATATATATATATTTACTCTCTGTCTGCATTCGTTTACGCCGCTACATTTTGGCCCCCAACGTGGGGCTATTTTGCCCCCGACTCAAGCAGGTAGCCCGCTACCTAACACAGCACCCTCCCGGGTGCTGTTTTTCAGTTCGTGACTCCGGCCCCAGTGCCGAGTCCGAGACCCACTCGGGGACACAGGCCCATTCTGCCTGCCTTGGCTAAGTTTTGCAGCAGAACCCCACTGCCTGAATTAGCAGAAGCTCAAGTACTTGCGGTTTTGCAACAAAAGCTGCCACAGCATCAGATTTGGTCTGTTACAAAGTGACTTGGCCGGTTGTGGTGGCCCACGCTGGTAGGATTTGCTGAAGGAGGCAGAGGCAGGAGGATCACAAGTTTGAGGCCGGCCAGGCAGTGGTAGAGCACGCCTTTAATCCCAGCACTTGGGAAGCAGAGACAGGCAGATCTCTGTGAGTTTGAGGCCTCCCAGGCCTTGGTAGTGCACGCCTTCAATCCCAGCACTTGGGAGGCAGAGACAGGTGGATCTCTGTGAGTTCAAGGCCAGCCTGGTCTACAAGAGCTAGTTCTAGGACAGGCTCCAAAAACACAGAGACCACCACTGGCAGGAACTGATCATTGCAGGTAAAAAAACAGAAAGGGACTGAATCTTATGGTCCAGATCAGCTGTTCCCTCTTCCACAGTAATGAATTTCTCCTTAACATCAGCCTGAAGAACTTCAACCTGATTCTTGAGAAGATTGTTATCAGCCTGGAGAACTTCAAACTGATTCTCGAAAAGATTGTTATCAGTCTGGAGAACTTCAACCTGATTCTTGAGAAGATTGTTATCAGCCTGGAGAACTTCAAAGTGATTCTTGAGAAGATTGTTATCAGCCTGGAGAACTTCAAACTGATTCTTGAGAAGATTGTTGTCATTCTCAATTGTTTTTAAGCAATCAATCTCTACCTTAAGAATCCTGGATTCGTTTCGTAAAGACTTTATCATATTTCTATTATGATAAAGGGTCGTGGGTTCGAGCCCCACGTTGGGCGCCAATGTAAGCCCCATGCCTACTGTTACAAGCAATAATGATCAGAAAGATAAGTTACGTGTGTTTTGGCAAACTTCTATAAATGATCAAAGACCTAAACTGAGAGTGTGTGTAAATGGCATTTTTATTACTGGCCTGCTGGACACAGGTGCTGATGTAAGTATCATTACCCCAGAATCTTGGCATCCGTATTGGCCTCTTCAAAATGTAAATGTTCAGCTCCTGGGAATTGGAACCCTATCTCGAGTAAGGCAGATCATGAGATGGGTTGAATGTATAGGGCCAGAGGGACAAATAGTAAAATTAAGGCCATATGTAGCCAATATCAAAACAAATTTATGGGGTCGTGACCTATTACAACAATGGAATACCGAAATTAACATTCCTGCTAAATCTAGAGCCTATATTTCTGAGAATAATATTAAAAGATATTACAAACGGAGAAAATCGGCCATTCGGGCTGTACAAGAACAAGCAATTGATGTCCCTTCAGAGATACCAACAGCCTTGCCTCTAAAATGGTTGACTGAGAAACCAATATGGACAAAGCAATGGCCTTTAGCTGAGGAAAAGTTACAGGCTTTAAAACAGCTGGTACAAGAACAATTAGATGCTGGACATATAGAAGAATCTACCAGCCCTTGGAATTCTCCTGTATTTGTGGTTAAGAAAAAATCAGGTAAATGGAGAATGGTGACAGATCTCAGGGCCATCAACAAGGTTATTCAACCTATGGGCCCTCTGCAATCTGGAATTCCTTTGCCCTCTTTATTACCAAAAGGATGGCCTCTCATAGTTATTGATTTAAAGGATTGTTTTTTCACTATACCTTTGCAAAAAGAAGATAGAGAAAAATTTGCCTTCACAGTGCCTACTTATAACAATTCTCAACCTTCGAGGAGGTTCCACTGGACCGTTCTCCCCCAGGGTATGTTAAATAGCCCCTCCCTGTGCCAATATTTTGTGAACCAACCATTGCAAATAATACGCAAGAAATTTCCCAGATCTATAGTATACCATTACATGGACGACATCTTGTTATCCGATTCAAACATAGATACCTTGAACAGACTGTTTGAAGAAATAAAGATACTTTTACCTAAATGGGGATTGCAAATAGCTCCTGAAAAGATTCAGAAGGGAGATTCTGTTAATTATTTAGGTTATAAAATAGGTTTGCAAAAAATTAAGACACAAAAAGCACAAATTAGGAGAGATCGCCTACGGACTCTTAATGACTTTCAAAGACTGTTAGGAGACATTTCCAGTCTACGACCAGCTATTGGAATAACACCTGATCTAATAATTCATTTGAACAAAACCTTGGATGGTGATAAGGATTTAAACAGTCCCAGAGAATTAACAGCTGAAGCAGAAAAGGAACTGACAATGATTGAGGAAAAATTACAACAGGCACATGTGGACAGGGTGAATCCAGAGCTCGGTTGTATTCTCGTCATACTACCATCAAAAATTTCTCCTACAGGAATTTTAATGAAGAGAGATGATATTATTTTGGAATGGATCGTTTTACCACATAAACCAAGTAAGAAACTGAAAACTTATGTGGAAAAAGTCTCTGAGTTAATTATAAAAGGCAAGCTGAGACTTCGTCAACTAGCAGGCATAGACCCAGCAGAAATTATAGTGCCTTTCACTGCTGATGAACTAAAGAAATTATGGGAAGATAATGAACCATGGCAAAGAGCTTGTGCTAATTTTTTGGGAGACATTAATAACAACTATCCAAAAAGCAAGCGGCTTAACTTCATAAAGAGAACTTCTTGGATTCTTCCTCGAATCATCCGTGATGCTCCAATAACTGGAGCCCATACATTCTATACTGATGCCAATAAATCAGGGAAGGCAGGTTACAAATCAGAAGACTTGGATAAGGTGGAACAAAGTCCGTATACTTCTGTCCAGAAGGCGGAATTATATGCCATTCTTATGGTGCTAAGGGATTTTAAAGAACCTATTAATATAGTTACAGATTCACAATACGCAGAAAGAGTTATTTTACATATTGAAACTGCTGAATTTATACCTGATGATACTGAACTAACCTCATTGTTCCTCCAGGTTCAAGATTTGATCAGGAACAGGCTTTGCCCTATGTACATAACACACATCCGATCCCATACGGGTCTGCCAGGTCCTCTAGCACAAGGTAATGCAGAAATTGATCAATTATTGATTGGTAGTGTGCTACAAGCCTCTGAATTTCATAAAAAACATCATGTTAATAGCAAAGGTTTGAAGAAAGAGTTTTCAATTACATGGCAACAAGCTAAGGAGATTGTAAAGAAATGTCCTACTTGCTCTTTCTATAACCAAACGCCACTGCCTGCAGGGGCTAATCCAAAGGGCACCCAAAGGAATGAAATCTGGCAGATGGATGTGTTCCACTTTGCAGAATTTGGCAAATTAAAATATGTACACCACACCATAGACACGTATTCAGGTTTTCAATGGGCTACTGCCCTGAGCTCAGAAAAGGCTGATTCAGTAATCACACATTTATTGGAAGTTATGGCCATCATGGGTATACCTGCGCAAATAAAGACAGATAATGGTCCAGCATATGTATCTAAGAAAATGAAACGCTTTTTTGATTATTATAATATAAAACACATTACAGGTATACCAAATAATCCTACAGGTCAGGCAGTTATAGAAAGATCAAATCGTACTATAAAGGATATGCTGAACAAACAGAAAGGGACTGAAAATACCCCCAGAAATAGATTACATAATGCTTTATTAACCTTGAATTTTCTTAATGCTAATGAGAAAGGAACGACAGCAGCAGAAAGACATTGGATAATGGAAAAGTCTGCTGAACTAAATCAACCGATTTATTTCAAAGATGTGCTGACCTCTCAATGGAAGCCAGGAGATGTGCTACGTTGGGGAAGGGGTTTTGCTCTTGTTTCCACAGGAGAAGAAAAATTGTGGATACCATCAAAATTAATAAAGTTTTGATTTGAACAGGAGAAACCTCTTGGAAAGGAGAAATGACAACTCATCCACAACGATGATATTCATACAGGTGGTAAGAAAAACATATAGAATGGGGGCAGGGTTCTGTTCTTATCTCCACAGGAAAACACTCATCTTTGAGAACTTCAAGGGACCCTGGATGTTTGGATACTGACAGATGGAAAAATACCTACCCAATAGGAAATATCAAGACAACTGAATGGGTTGTGTAAGTAATATTAAACCATATTTCTAAATTTATAAAGCTGGTTTTGAAGTTGGACTCTGGCTCAGTCCCTCTCCAATTCCAAGACTGTTAGTAAGAGAAAAACCCAGAGTTTCTGGAGTTTCTGTCTCATGTCAAGAGCCATGATATGGGACAGAAAGAAATATGAGTTTAGAAAACATCTTTGCTTTTCTTCATATCTATCATACTTTTCATTGAATATATCTATCATGTCTTTCATTGAATATGTATATATATATATATATATATATATATATATATATATATATATATATATGTCTATATGATTAATGTTTAAGTTTTTCATAATGAACAATGAGTTTTTCCTGAAGTGACATTTGAAGTTTCCAGGAAGAAGATGGGGCCCCATAACAACAACTCCACCTGGTTGATATGATGTCATGATACTGATAGCGCTACTACAAGACCTGCTTTGGGTACCAGCTGCACAAGACAGTTCCAACTTGGTTAGCTGAAATGGTGCACATCTTATACAACATTTTGGCCAGACCTGCACGAAAATACTCAGAGACTATTTGCAATTTTAAAAGACGTTATCTTGAAATTTAACCATCATTTTACTTTCACAGGATCCCCCAGAAAGAGCGTCGCCCCTGTGACAGCTGGAAGTAATTCTAGAGAACGACGTCCCCTCTCCCAGTAAAGTTTGCCCTTGGGTTAAGGACATCATTTAGGGGTTGATTATAATTAGTATATGATTGAGGGTTGGGGGAGGAATTTTATAAGCTCAGGGATCATTTTGAAAAAAAAAGAGGGATGATGGGATAATAGACAAATATATTGGTATAGATTCTTGTATATTGATACAAAGTTAAATTATATTGACTATTGTACGCATGCATGTTTCTACCTCTGTTTAAAACATTTTTATGTATTGACATATATTGTATTGATATATATATATTGTATATATTTACCATATTGCAGTGTACATTTCTACCTCTGATTAAGATACTTATATAATATTTGTGTATTGATATATATTTACCTACTGCAATGTATATTTGTACATTGTTTATATTTGGAGGTCATTGTCCTCATTTGTTTCACAGTCGTTTATTGTCTTAGTCTTTAAGTTAGATATATATTGAGAATTATATAGACTAATTGTCATCTAAGTTTGTCATTAATAATTAGACTAATCAGGTTCTTTAGATATATAGAGATTATACACAGTATAGATAGATAATCTTCAACCTCTTCAAAGAGCTGTAGAAAATGGCCTTTAATCTAACTCAGAGTTTCGTGATAGTGAGGCACAATTGCTCCTGGCAACACCGCTCTATTCCCGAGAGAATGTTGAGCACCAAAAACACTCCACCTGGAGCCTTTCTATTTGGCAGAACTGGCCTTTGGGCAAAGAAATGCCCATACCTCAACCACTGACACAGATACAGAGCGTGCATCAATGGATAAAACAGGACTGTCATATCCTGCCAAGACAGGGTAAGATAGTTTTGAAAAGTTCCTTGCCTTTAATAATGGTATGTCAGTTATGTTAGGCCTTAGCCAAAATTGGTTGACTCAACGTTGCAAACGAGACTTTGGGTGATTGCCCAGGTAGTCAGTTGTCTCTGTCAATTGTTGCACATTTTGGATATATCTCGTTTGTTGAGTAGTGTTTATTCCCTTCTCAGATCTTTGACTGAGTTGAAGATTATATAATTGTAGTTACTCTTTACATTATTTGGACTTCTTGAGATAGAATGTTTAGCAAAGCTTTTGTTCTCAATATTGTTTGTTGTATTTATTATTTGTTGTTATTGTATGTAGTTGTATTTGGTTTAGTTCTGTCTTATTTAGACAAAAAGGGGAGATGTAGCGATAAGTCCCACCCCTTAAGGGGCGTGTTCGCCTCGGGCTAATGTCTGCCTATAAATTTGGCGAGCAAGCTCCGAGCTCTTGCTTCTGCTTTCCTGGTCTCCGCGGGAACGGTGGTTCTGTAAGTCTATTTCTACATTAAAGCTATATATATATATTTAGTCTCTGTCTGCATTCGTTTACGCCACTACAGACGGGCTTTGTGGGAGCCTAGTCTGTTTGAATGCTCGCCTACCTGGACCTGGGTTAGCAGGAAGGACCTTGGACTTCCCACAGGGCAGGAAACCCTGACTGCTCTTTGGACTGGAGAGGGAGGGGGAGAAAGGGAAGGGGAGGGAAGTGGGAGGAGGGGAGGAGGTGGAAAATTTTAATTTAAAAAATGTTTTTTTAAAAAATAATTCTCAAACTCAACTCTAGCATCCAGATACCTTTGCATACCATGCACTATGCACACTCAGTCTAGTCAAATAGCATTTACAACCATTCAAACATTGTCCTTACCCTAAATTGGATTCATGGTTTATAGTTATTTACAACTGTGCCATGATGCTGCAGACCTTGGATGAACTGCTTGCTGTGGAATCCAAGAGATGAACTCCTGTAGACTTGTTTCACTTCTTACTCTGGGGACTTTCTTTCTTTTTCCAGACATGAGAGTGAAATATTTAAGTCTAAAAGAGTGAGAAATAATATTTGTCTATGTGCTTAATTCTTATTTTTAAGTGAGTGTATTTCTTAAACTTAAGACCTTTCACATCATCAGAAAGCACTCTACCACAGAGCTACACACTTAGTTCAATCTTTTTAAAATATCACTTTTTTCCTACAGAAAATAATTTTGGATGACTGCATTTATACACTATTAAAATAAACACCAGGAATCACAAATTCTTTTTTTTTTTTATTTTTGATGCCGACCACGTAAAACTGATTCTGTAAAGGATTAAGCTACTGAGCATGGAACTCAATACTGTTGGGGTATTGAGGATATTTCAAACCAACCGAAGAAAACAGAAGGAAGAGGACAAGGAGAAGTAGAGGGAAACTTCTCCCTCAGCTGGTGACTCCTATTCTGAGTCTGAACTCCGTGACCTTTTCAAGACTACTGTGTAGTTGCACCACAGCATGTGATGGAATCTCACTACTCATGTTCAACTCCCACACCTGAATGAAAAGGTAAAAATGAGACCATACTGCAGACTGCACATATGAGTAACAGAGTCTGCCACAATTGAAAAGAGGAAGACAGAGGCTTGAACATCATATGTCAGCATACACACACACACACACACACACACACACACACACACACACACAAAGAGAGAGAGAGAGAGAGAGAGAGAGAGAGAGAGAGAGAGAGAGAGTAGTTAGAGAGTGTGAGAGAGAAAGAGGGAGAATGAGAGAGTGAGACACTGAGACAGGTAGAAAGAGTTAAAGGGAAACAAGGAGAAACACTGTAATAAATAAACATACAAAAACCAACAGGAAAAATAAATTGGAATAAACATTTGGACATTTGTGATATGGAGAGACAGTGCAGACATAGAGAAGTTTAGTCTTCCATGCTTCTCTGAGCAGGATCTTCTCTGATCCTGATTTCTAAGTTTTCTCAGCGCCCCCTGCTGGTCCTGCGTTCTTCACGGGGGTGTTTTTGTCTGAGCTCACAGTAGCATTCACTCACTGTGTATCTTGCACAGTAATACATGGCTGTGTCCTCAGACCTTAGACTGCTCATTTCCAGGTACAGAATGTTCTTGGCATTGTCTCTGGAGATTGTGAACCGGCCCTTCACAGCGTCAGTATACCAGGTGCTACCAACACTATCAATGGTTGCGACCCACTCCAACCCCTTCTCTGGAGCCTGGCGGACCCAGCTCATTGCATAACTACTGAAGGTGAATCCAGAGGCTGCACAGGAGAGTTTCAGGGTCTTTCCAGGCTGCACTGAGCCTCCCCCAGATTCCAGCAATTGCACCTCACAATGAACACCTGTAAACACACAGAATTCTGGTTAGAAAACTGACACAAAAGACTTTTTCTTATGTCCACACAACACACAGTATCTCATCTTTATGAATTACCTTTTAAAGTCAGGACAGAGAAAACCAATATGAGCCCTAAGTCCATGGTGACTGTCCTGTGTTCAGTGGTGAATCCTGACTGGGAGGATTTGGGAATCCAGAGCTGGTCCCCTCTGCCAGAGCTGCAAGGTCAGGACATGCCTAGTTTTATGTGCACAAAGAAGACTTATTTGCATGTCTCCCTGCTATAGCAGGCTCTGTTGTTGGACCTGGGCTGAAGGCAGTACTCAGAGCAGATATAATTCATTTATAGAAATTGAAGCATTAACTCAGTTCCATGTACACACTTTCCTTGTTAAGGGTTCACTATACTGTACTTAGTTTGCTTTTCACATTATGCATAGAAAATGTTGTGTTTCCACACTGTCACGACTCTTTAGAATCAATGTGAAATTGAAAAGCTGTGTTTCTAAATATTATTACTGTCTGCTCCTATAAACATAATTGAACAAATGCTTTTGTAGTATGATTGATCATCTTTTGGGTATATGCCCAAGAGTGGTATTGCTGGATCCTTAGGTAAGTTGATTCCCAATTTTCTGAGAAACCACCATACTGATTTCCCAAGTGGTTGTACAGCTTTGCATTCCCACCAGCAATGGATGAGTATTTTCCTGATCCACATCCATTCCAGCATAAGCTATCATTAGTGTTTTTTATCTTAGCCATTCTGACAGGTGTAAGATGGTATCTCAGAATTGTTTTGATTTGCATTTCCCTGATAGCTAAGGATGTTGAACATACCCTTAAGTATCTTTTGGCCATTTGAAATTTTTCTGTTGAGAATTCTCTGTTTAGTTCAGTATCCCATTTTTAATTAGTTATTTCAAATTTTAATGTCTCATTCTTGAGTTCTTTATATATTTTGAAGATCAGTCCTTTGTCTGAAGAGGGGTTGGTGAACATATTTTCGCATTCAGTAGGCTGCCTTTTTACCTTATTGACTGTGTCCTTTGCTTTAAAGACGTTTCTCAGTTTCAGGAAATTTATTTGCAGATAATCCTATACATGATTTATAAAATCTCTTTTCACATTTGTTTAGTTGTGACTTTAATCTAAAATGACATTATCCCATCATCATTCAGAATCAGAGAAAACAAATATCAATCCTGCCTACCCTTTCAGGGCTCATGCTACAATAGCAGTTAGTCTGGTGTCATCTAGGTATTTCCTTTTCTATAAATTATCTAGAATGAATCAGAGGACATACTGAAGAGAAGAGAATTTCAAGGGCATCTCTATAAAGAACTGTTACTTCTTTTCTACTCCAGAGGGAAAACTTGGCCTGCGCCTATTTGTTCAATAATTTATTTACCTTAATGTAGATATGTGAAGTCTTTTAATTAATATTGGTAGGCTCTCCATAAAATGTTCTGGATATTTTTGTTCAAATGTAAAATCCTTGTTATTAAATTAGATGTATTTTTTGAGATACTTTATGTTCAAAAAACTCATTAAAACTTTACCATGTTCATCCATTTCAGGAGCAATCATGTAAGCTGATCCTTACACTGACCCTGGAAAATATTGAAATGGAACCTCTGGGTTCAACATAGTGTGGAGTTATTCAATTCACTGTTATGTGTTCTGCTATCAGGATTCTAAGAATGTGGTCTATGTGGTCTCCAAGGCATTATCACATAGTGTAACAGGGAGCTCGGGCCTTTTTGTTCCATCTTGCCTAGCTAGCTTAACCCCCAAAATAATCACATAGAAATTGTATTAATTAAATCATTGCCTGGCCCATTAGCTCTAGCTTCTTATTGGCTAACTCTCACATCTTGATAAACCCATTTCTATTAAATCTGTGCCATGTGGTTGTGGCTTACTGGCAAAATTCTAACCTTGTCTGTTTCAGGCAGGAGATTCCTGGTGTCTTGTAGGAGAGACCCAACCAATTAACTTGCTAACAGAGGGCGGGGTCCCCCGAGGATATTTTTGACTTATAAAGATTGTGGGCGTGCTCCCAACCACCCCTTCTGCTTTTCGGTTCTCCATGGGAACCTGTGGTTCTGTAAGTCTATTTCCCCATTAAAGCTGTATATATTATTACGATCTGTCTGCATTCATTTACGCTGCTACACTTCCTCATATCTGTGTCTTTCTTTATATGTCAGTATATGTCCTTGTTGTTAATGTTTAAATTTCCCATAACAATCAACAAATTTTCCTACAGTAATCTTTAAAGTTTTCAGGATGAAGATGGGGCCCCATGATATCAACTCAATCTGGTTTTTATGACGTCATGAATATTTTTTAAGCACTAATATTAGACCTGTTTTTTGGTACCAACTGTACGAGACAATTTCGAATGGTGCACATTTTTGACAACACTCTGGCCGGACCTTCTCAAAACGCTCAGAGACTAGTTACAATTTTCTTAGGTCAAAGGTTAATTTGGGAATTTTACCATCATTTGCTTTCACAGGACTCCCTAATAAGAACGTCGCCCTCATGTCAGCTAGAAGCAATCTTAGAGGACGATGTCCCCTCTCCCAAAGAGTTTGCCCTCAGGGTTATGGACATCATTTAGTGGTTGGTTTAGGGTTGAGGGGATGGGGAGATATTTTATGAAATTAAGGATATTGTTTTTTTAAAAAAGGGGGAGATTAAGTGGTTTGATGGGATGATTGGTATTTGTGTGTTACTGTTTTTAGAAAATTGTATTGGTACTGTTTCTTGTATATTGATATATTAAATATTGAATGCGAGTGTTCCTACCTCTATTTTTGTATAAGAGTATGCTTATAACTTTGTCTATATAGTATTGATACATCTACCATATTACAATGTACATTTCTACCTCTGATACTATTTATATAATAACATTGTTTACATTTGATATGTAATGACATTGTTTACAGTTGAAGATCATTGTCTTCATATATTGCACAGTTGTTTATTCTCTTAGTCTTCAAGTTAGATAGGTATTGAGAATTATATGTTTGTCATATTTATTTTTATGTTAATCAGAATTTTTAGATACATAAAGCTTATATTTATTATAGATAGTATAATCTTTAGCCTCTTCAAAGAGCTGTAAAAAATGGCCTTTAATCTAACTTAGAATTCTGTGCCAATGAGACACAATCACTCCTGGCGACACCACTCTACTCCCGAGAGAACGTTGAGCACCAAAGACACTCCACTGGGAGCTTGTCTTCTTGGCAGAACTGGCCTTTGGGTTAAGAAAAGCCCATACCTCAACTTCTGACAAAGATGCAGAATATCCCTAAGTGGATGAAACAGGATTGTCTTATCCTGCCAAGACAGGGTAGGATAGTTCTAAGAAAGTTCCTTGCCTTTAATAAAGGTATGTCAGTTATGTTAGGCCTTAGCCAAAGTTGATTGACTCAACATTGCAAACGAGACTTTGGGTGATTGCCCAAGTAGGGAGTTGTCTCTGTCATTCGTTGCACGTTTTGGATAGTTCTCGTTTGTTAAGTAATATTAACTCCCTTCTCAGATCTTTGACAGAGTTAAAGATTATATAATTATAGTTACTCTCTACATTATTTAGACTCCGTGAGATAAAATGTTTAACAAAACTTTTGTTATATGTTTCTTGCTCAATATTGTTTGTTGTATTTATTATTTGTTACTATTGTATATAGTTGTATTTGGTTTGGCTCTATCTCATTTAGACAAAAAGGGGAGATGTAGGAGAGACCCAGCCAATCAACTTGCTAACAGGATGCGGGGTCCCCCGAGGATATTTTTTACTTATAAAGATTGCAGGCTTACTCCCAACCACCACTTCTGCTTTCCTGTTCTCCATGAGAATCTGTGGTTCTGTAAGTCTATTTCCCCATTAAAGCTGTATATATTATTACAATCTGTCTGCATTCATTTACACAGCTACAGTGTCTGCCTGTCTATCCTTCTTCCAGGCATTCTACTGTGTCTACTCCACCTACCTAAGTCGGGCCCTATCAAAAGGCCAAAGCAGTTTCTTTATTCAACCAGTAAATGAAACACATAAGCAGAGGAACCTCCTACACAAACACACTATTGGTGTCAATGCATTAATTTCAGGAGGAGCCTTAGCATCAAGGGAAAAGTTTCTCTTTTCCATTTTAAACCAGTCCCACATTTATGATCCATTAACATGGAGCCCACAGCCAACATGGCTTCTCTGAAGATACTTGTCTAGCTCACACATGAGAAACCAGGCTTTTCCTGTCACCAACATTAGAGAGTGCAGAGGGGTAATTCTGGGAGCAACAAAATGACCAACAAACTGTGAAAATCATAGAACTCAGTTGCCCATGGGAAGGATTGGTGAGAAATGAACCAGGGACTAGAGCTGATGTATGCTGGGGTGTGCATATTTGTGGCTGAGAATTTTGTGCTCTGCGTTACACAATCTGCCTATAGAGAAATCATTAGCTTGGACTTCAAGGTATAATCCAATTTTTACCAAAATGTAAAGGCTCAAAAATATAATCTTGTAACAATTTTAACAACTGTACACTTTTATAAGGCCCTATTAGTTTAGAAGTAGAAAACTGTGGATGGCTCACTTTCTAAGCTAAACTGTGGAAATTAACATCAATTCATGGAAGTTGTGGTTTCTCTACCGCAGTTTAAAAATAAAGAGGATGAGTTAAAGATTATTCAAAATTCCCAAGCTGTCTTACAAAATTTAGGCAACAAGTTTCATAATTTCAGACACCTGATGACATATATGTGTACACACACACACACACACACACATATGGAATATATATAATTAATGTTCTGATTTGTCTGACAAGAAGCAATTAGACATCTTAGAGTATTGTGGAGGAAAAAGATGTTTAGTATGTAATTAAAAAGCAAGATTAATAGGTTATTAGAGGTAAAGGGTACTCAAGAAGATTTCCTTGTGCAAAAGAACAAAATGTTTATGAAATCAAACAGGCGTAAATGCAGCATATTTGTGAACTTCCTAGTTTCTTAAGTGACCACCTCTCTTTCTGGGAGTAGCTGTTGGTCCTCCATATCCTATGCTGGTCTGAGTATACAGGTTTCTGTCCAAGTTCACACTGGAGTTCTCTCACTATGTCTCTAGCACAGTCATACATGGCTGTGTTAGAAGTGTGCAGATTGTTC